CAATACATTATAATATATATATATATATATATATATATATATATATATATATATATATATATATATATATATATATATATATATATACACACAGTATATATTCTAAATCAATATTCCAGGGTTAGGCATTTTACGCATTTGGATATAATGTGCACCACATTTAAAAAGTGAATGTCCTCACAATAAAATCAAATTTGTGCAATTATAATTAGGCACTTTGTCTTGAGATGTGAACATGGTCTTTGATTCTAAAGCAGCCTTAAGCAATCAAAGAGCAGGTTTCTGAAACTGGTTTAAGAGTGTAAAATCTCTTAAGCTCTTAACAAGAGCACACACATATATATATATAACCTCTTTTCGGCTTGTTTTGTGTTTTATGTTTAACAGGGACATGTTTCATGGTATAAAAGCTCTGGACCCTGATCGGTTAAATGTATTCCGCACAGTCAGAGAGATCACAGGTGAGCGACAGTCACCATTCATCACATGACAACCCATTAAACCTGTGTAGCCTTGCGTGAAACCATTAACTTTCTTTATTTCTTCATACATTAACATTACCCTTTGAGTTGGGAAATATTCTGTCACAAATATCTTATCTTTACATGGTACACAATATTTATTTGTTTATAAAGCCTCAAGGAATGAACTATGACTCATGCTAAAAGCCTTTTGTCACTTTCAACTTGTTCTTATGATTGTGCCAAATAGCTAATGGAGTGATGCGGCAAAGCAGTGTTTTCAAAATGAAACTCAGAAACTGCTCTCTTGTGCACCATTGCTGTACCCTCAGTTTAGACACATTTCACCCAATATGAGCCAACACAATTATAATTAAAACAATGTGCATCTGAAGAAATGATGGTAATGGAAATCGTTCTTTTAATTAACACAATCATTTCCCTTAATATACTTTCATTTCAATGTAATGGGGTCGTTTTATACTGTCAGACAGGCTGTAAATAATATTGTACTCACTGGACCTGTGGCAATATCCTAATCCAATGTCTGCTGTCATAGTAACACATTTGTTTATCTGTTTTATACTCATGGTTTTTAAAATGATTCGTATTTATTTATTTTTTTCTCTGTTTTTGTAGGTTTCTTGAACATCCAGTCTTGGCCAGAAAACATGACAGATCTTGTTGTTTTTTCAAACCTTGCCACCATTGGAGGACGCTCTCTTTATAGGTAAATCAGCACAGAATTCTAGTTAAAAGTTGGGCTGCTGATTTAGAGTGTTAATCTAATGAATTCGTTATGGGAAAAAATAATGTGTTAAAATGAACACAATTAATGCGCCTGCACCGTCCCCGCCCCACATCATCTTACATTTCATATGGTGTGTTCGACTTAAAGCAACGCTTCTGACCGCTCATGTATGACATCAAAGTACCGTGAGATATTATTATTATTATTATTATTATTATTATTATTATTATTATTATTATTATTATTATTATTATCACATTAAGTATTTAATATATTTAACGAAAGGTTAGAAAATTCTTTCAGAACATTGTCAACCAAAACCCTGTGCTAAATGACTAAATGAAATTACTTTCTGTCATAGTTATGTAGCTGAAATATGGGTGGATTGATGTTACCCATGAGTAAAGTCTGTTTTTCTCACCCAACTCACAAAACTTTGTCCAAAATGCACTGCTGGACAACTTTAGTGAAATCTAATATGCCTTTGTACTATCAGAGGGTTAGCAATTGTGTGTTGTTGTCCCAAGTGTACTTTCCCTGTCCAATGTTGGGTTGAAACTTTTCACAGATTTGCTCATACTCTAAATGATTTAAATATTATTTTAAATATATTCATAAATGTCCTCATTAACTACTTCTAAGTATTCCCTTGTTTCATATTAGATCCAAGTGAAAATGTTCACTCCCTCAGGATGTGGCACTTAAAATAGTTCCTGTACCATTGTTGTCGTATATCAGAGACGTCCTCAATTATATCATGCATTAATGTGAAGAAAAGTGAAGCCAAATTTGCTGTCTGCCACTTTGTTTTCTCAGTGGTATTTCTCTACTGATCCTGAAGCAGCGCTGGATCTCTTCGCTGAAGTTCCAGTCTTTGAGAGAGATCAGCGCCGGTAACGTCTACATGACCAACAACAGCCAGCTCTGCTTCTACAACACAGTGAACTGGACCAGTCTGTTCCGCACCAGCACCCAGAGAGCTCTGATCAAGAACAACAGGGACCCCAGAGAGTGTAGTGAGTGTCGTTCAGTTTCAGCTCTCATCTACACCTCCATCTGTTCAGTAACTGTGATTTCCTCTAAATAAGATGTCATGTTTGAAGCAAGAATAAAAAAAACTTGGCATCCTGTAGTGATACATTTGCTTGAAAAGCTTCCATCAGACTTGTGAGTCTCTAAATAGACTTTGATTAGACTTTTTTTTTGTCAAATAAATGCAGTCTTGATGGGCATAAGAAACGTTTCTCCAAAAAAAAAAACCTTTTCAATATTCTCACTGCTGTAGCCCAAAAATATGCCTTTTTTCATCTTATACAGACCCACAGTGTTTCAATATTTGGACAGTTCTCCATGCCACAAACTCTATCACTGAAGATAGCCTAAAACTGGAAATAGGCCATTAAAGTAAGATGTTGCTTGTAAAGTTAAACGTGTGGGGCTAATAAAGATGTTAACAGACGGAGAGCTATTTCCAGTGTACACCGCCAAGCTGGATGTAATTAGTGTGATAATAAGTCTGTAACGTGAGGGATCAATGGCTCTGTTAGCTGACTCATTCATTAGACTCTTTTCCACACCATTGATCAAAGCGGACTGATCTACTGACCAACAGCCCAGACAGATGCCCACAGTGTTTTCACACACAGGCAGTGTGTTCATACATTAAGGAAAATGTGTTTGCAAACCCTATTGAGGAGTAGGGATCACTGTTTTATGTGGCTGGTGAATTTGAAACATATTCTGTTTAAGTTACAATAACACTGCCCTTCAGTGTTGCAAATGAAGTTGGGCACATTTATGTATATGCACAAATGAAAACATTTTTCAGTAAATCTTAATACATATTGTTTAAAAAAACTGATAATTTAATTTGAACTATTATGTGCACATTGCTAAAATAGGGGGAAAATAGATTAAATTCAATTATAGATTAAAATATAATCAATCACAATAGTAATCAATTTAATGCAACTTTTCTGGATAATTGTATTAATTTCTTTGACCCACAAACTTTTGAACAGTAATGCATTGTTTGTATGTATGCTTGTATTTATTATTATTATTATTAGTAGTAGTAGTAGTAGTAGTCGTAGTAGTAGTATGTGGTCACAGCTCTCTAAATATTGCCACCCAGCACTAAAACAGTCTATATAAATTGACCAGTACTCACAAACCAGCCTCACAGCTTAACAAACGCACATTTCATTGTGCTTTAACTCACTTCAATAAATACATATATTTACCTCTCATGAAAACACTATCTGTCAAGAATTTCATAAGTGATAGCTATTTTAACTAATAGCTAAATAGTATCATTTTAGCTGTTGTCAAGAATCTTTCTGAAGGTAATCTGAATAATAAATATTTCATGAATACAACAAATTCACATAGCATATTTGCGGGATGGAGATGTCAAAGTTCCAAATGAAGTAACTAATTGCAGTGGTTTCTTTCTTTCCCTTTGTATGCATCTGTGTGGTTTTTTTTCCAGCTAATGAGCAGATGGTTTGTGATCCGTTGTGTTCGGAGGCAGGATGCTGGGGTCCCGGTCCAGACCAATGTCTCTCATGCAAATACTTTAGTCGAGGAAGGACATGTGTCAAGTCCTGTAAATTATATTATGGGTGAGTATGTGTGCAAACAGATCATTTGTGGTGTCAGTTTGCTTATCTATATAGCTTGTTTTTCTTCAAAGTTATTTTTCTTATTTTCTTTTTTTTTTTTAATCTGTCTTCTTGCTCTTCTATTTCTTAAACCACTTAAGCTTGCAGTTGCCGTAATATGAATGTGTTTTTCAAATGCAGATTTGTTCAGACAGGCCGCTGGCTCCAAAGATATTCTGCAGTATGACTATCATGATCAGACTATCAAGATCAAGGGATCAAAATGCTTTTAATGCTATTTATAACTCAAAGGAATAGACTCTCTTACTTTTCTGGCAGGCATGGAGACATGGAAACGGGCTTGAAAAGAACAGGCAAAATGTCCAATGCTAGGCTTTTGTTTGCAAATGCAGTGTATGTGTTTGTGTCATTCAAGAATTAGTTAAGAAATACTTTGGTGATGAAAATATAGCTTGTATTCATTGTACATTTTATAAGAAAATGTTTATGCATTTTTATTATACATAACCTCTAAAGTATATATATATATATATATATATATATATATATATATAGTATCGGGGTGAA